AATTCCGGGTACATACTTCTCCCTTCAATAGTGAAGTGGAGCCAATATCTATCCCCCAAATAAGATGACATTATGTGTTCTAATGTGATTTTATTACACCAATCGAAGCTCAATAAAATACTGGCTTGAACCCTGGTTTCCATGCGGAGTTCTGCTCTTGCAACAGAGCCTTCCCAACTCCTCCTCCTTACTGCAGATTCCCCAAAAGGTCTTCCTATGCATAGCGTGACACAGAAGAGAGCAGGGGGCTACTGTGGGAAGGAAAGAAAAATCAGGGGATTTCTTCCTTCATTTCTCCTCCTGGAAGGGCATACTTGAATCCAAGCCACAGTGTTTCACCACAGGATTACGGTGTAGCAATGACTTTCAAACCATGGAGGATTTCTTGCTTTTTAAAAACAACCTCTGCGGGGAGGGCGGGGTGTAAATCTTAATAAATAAAACAAATAAACCTTTATTACCTGTTCTTTTCTTCAAGTTCTTTATTCGCTTTCCTCTTAAATTTGGGAAGCAACTGCTGAAGGAGATCCTTTACTGCATCTCGCTCTTTCACTGCTGTACTTTCATTAGAGAAATGGAAGTTGGTCGTGTCCCCTGCATGCAATACCAGCTGAAGCTGAATCTTGGCTTTTCCTTCGGGGCTGATTTTCTGACCTATATTTTAAAAAAACAGACTGTAACAGAAGCCCCTTCAAAAAGCTTATTTCTGTCCAAAAAAAGAGAAACTGCCTTATAATAATGTAAAATAACAGTACACATAACAGGTAATACCTCTGGCAATGGCTGGGCAGATATCTTCCCTAATACTGTTACTTCAAACTCCTTAAAAGACATGCTACAGATAATATTCTAGGGTCCTTACACGTACAAGGCAGAAACTCTCATTATTGAGCAATAGCTTCTGCCTGCAGCTGTTCATGTTATTCCTTTTTCATTTTTGAATTTTAATAACAACTTTATTCTATACACAGATAGAATTAGATAAGCATATGAAGCAGAAGTCCATCAGTGGCTATTAGCCACAAAGTATAGATAGGAACTCTCAGGCTGGGGCAAGCGATGCTCTGTATTCTTGGTGCTGGGGGGGGGGGAGGCAACAGTGGGAGGGCTTCTAGTGTCCTGGCCCCACTGCTGGACCTCCTGATGGCACCTGGAATTTGTGACCATTGTGTGACAGAGTGTTGGACTAGATGGACCATTGGCCTGATCCAACATTGGCGTCTCTTATGTTCTTAATTTAAGTTTTTTAACTACAAAAAACAATAATGAATGGAATCAAACCAGGTAGTAGTTATATACTTTCAAAATAAGTCATAATATCTACACTTGATCAACAAGAAAATTCACGATATGATATACAAAGAATTGCTTCTAAAAATAGGCCATCAACTTATAGTGGCTATGATTCATAAAAGATTATTTACCAATGGAGCTGTAATCTAGTTTATCTAATATATGGAATCAATGTTCTATACAATTAGTAAAAATAAACTGTGAACCTGACTGTGAAATATAATCTGATATCTTGTCCATAAGAAAATAAGACCAGACTTTATTATACTATTTATTGATAGACGGGGGATCTTTATCTTTCCACCTTAAAGCAATTAAAAGTTTTTGCGGCTAATAAAAATAAGGCTATAAGATCTCTAGTTGTGAAAGGAATAGTTTTGTCATACCAGACATTTAATAGGATTAGTTCTGGATTTTCTGCTATTAAATACCCTGTTAACATTTGTATTTGAGCCAAAACCGGTTTCCAAAATTGTCTAATTAGTTTGCATTCCCACCTGTTCATGTTATTCCACTAACTCCTGAGCCCTTCTGTAGATTTCTTCCCAGGGATGGACCCCAAAAGACAAAGCTTCCAATAAAACAACCGTAAGATGAATAGCAACAGAGCATCTAGCTCTAAAAGATGACCCTAGCAGGATTTTGGGATGTGACATCTCTCCCACCAAAGGACCAAGCCATGGAGAAAAAGCTAGACAGAGGATATTCTATGTATATGTGCATGTGTGTGTGTAATTAATGCACCATGCAATCACCTGATCTCCATGAAAATCTCAGCAGCAGATGTTTTGGGAAGTCTATGAGAGCCAGTTCGGTGTAGTGGTTAGGTGCATGGACTCTAATCTGGGAGAGCCGGGTTTGATTCCCCATTCCTCCACTTGCACCTGGATGGATGACCTTGGGCAAGCCATAGCTCTGATAAGAGCTGTTCTTGAAAAAGAGCAGTTTCTGTCAAGAACTCTCTAAGCCCCACCTACCTCACAGGGTGTCTGTTGTGGGGAGGGGAAGGGAGTTTGTAAGCCGCTCTGAGACACCTTTGGGTAGTGAAGGGCGGGATAAAAATCCAATCTCTTCTTCTTCTTCTTCTATGTAAAGTGCCCCCATTTTCAAACAAAATGTGAATTGTAATCAATAATTCTTTGACACTTCAGTTCAGGTATGGCTCTATATTAACCAAATCTGCTTTTCATGTTTCAATCTACTTTCCTAAATTATGTCAATTGAATTTCGCCTTTATGCTGGGAGTTTGGTGTAGTGGTTAGAAGCACGGACTCTAATCTGGGAGAACCGGGTTTGATTCCCCACTCCTCCACATGCATCTGCTGGTGTGACCTTGGGGCAGTCACAAGTTTTCTCAGAGCTGTTCTCTCAATAGCAGTCCTCGAAAGAGCTCTCTCAGTCCCACCTACCTCACAGGGTGTTTGTTGTGGGGTGAGGAAGGGAAAGGAGATTGAAAGCCGCTCTGAGATCCTCCGGGTAGTGAAAGGTGGGGTATAAATCCAATCTCTTCTTCACTATGAGTGGACTGATAACTCTCTTGACTGATCTTGTTTCGAACTGGTCTCTCTTTGTAACATATCCCGCTCACAGTTTGTTCTTAAATGTATCTGCCCAATATATGAACACTTCATGCACTTTACGAAGTGAGCACTGACTCACAAAAGCTTAAGGTAGAATAAATCGTGTTAGTTCTTAGGGTGCCACTGGACTGCTGTTTTATTTGGACATGTCAGTTCCACTATTCCACTATCTTCTTGGCCATTTGTAAATAATCCAGTGTAAGTACACAGTGGGTCATAGATCAGGTCTGTATCTAACAGGATTTGAATCATTCGGTACTCAAAACCACACCAATAAGTGCGAAGAAAGTATTCAACAGAAAAGGTTTTTACTTACATTTTATGTCTGCATACATATGGCTGATTGTGAAGCGGTCTTTGCCCTCAGGTGCCCAGGCTATTCTTTCAGCCATGAGGTAAAGAGCCCCATCCTGTTTCTTTTGACGCACCTTCTTTACTATTAATAAGACTTCTTCCGATGATGTTGCCATAATGGTTATAGCGTGCTGCGTGAAAGAGACCCCAGCAATTATTTCAGACCAAGCTTCATGGTGACAGTCTTAAAGCTTGCTTTAAAAGCTTGCGCTGGAAATTTAAGATTCCTTCTTGTTTGTCGTTAGCTCTTAGTGCACATAACTGGTTTCAGAGGATAGCCATGTTGGTCTGCAGTAAAACAGCTAGATTCCAGTCCAAGCAGCACCTTAGAGACCAAAAAGATTTTGAGACTAGGAGATTTTGAGCGTCTTGTATCTGATGAAGGGAGTTTTGACTCTTGAAAGCTCATATCCTAGACAGCTTATTGGTCTCTAAGGTGCTAGTGGACTGGAATCTACACACAAATGATATGCAACAATTTATCTAACAATATTTTTGTGAAAAAGCTAATGTCAATTAAACAGTATTAAAGAAAACTTATGCAACCAATGGCACTGGCACTGGCATCTACAAAATTTTAGTTATGTCTTTCTTCTAAGTATTAGAAAACGATGAATGAAAAACTATGAAAGCCGATACCACGACAGCAAAACACGTATAAGCCCTCTTGGTATCAGTGAAGGTTTTCTTCCCCAGTATTTATTATACCTGAGAAATTAATTATGTTTGAGAAATTCACCTTGAGACTCTTGCAGCCGCCGGGCCTCGCTGGTCTTCCCCCCGGCTCCGAAGTGAGGCCCGGTGACTGCAAGCCGCTGGGGCCTCGCCGGTCTCCCCC